ACTATCAGCTGTCCACAGATCCTCAGTTAGAGAAGGAGGCTAATCACCCTGTCCTCCTTCCATGATAGAATGTTGACAGTTTTCATCTTGTGTAGGTCTTGTGCAGGTAAGCACAGATGCTGTGAGGTCATGAAGGCAGCATTCCTGTTGTGTTCAGAAGACATTCATTTGCTCCAGTACTTCCTGACCTCTGGCTCTTACAATCTTTTCACTTCCTCTGCAATGATGGTCTGAGCCTTGGCGAGAGGTGCTATAGATGCCTTATTTGTGATTGATCACTCTAGTAACACTCTTCGCAGTTTGATCAGTTATGGATTTCATCATTAACCACTGCCCACAGAACAAAGAAGCTCCTCTGATGAGGTTTGAAAGCAATACTTATCTATGGATACAGAACGATATACATTTTTAGAGGTTTGCTACTATTTTCTTTCTTATTGTTATTCATTTTACATACCAACCACAGATCCCCCTCTCTCCCCTCCTCCCTCCAGCCCTCCCGCCCAACCCACCCCTCATTCCTTTCTCCAACAAGGTGAGGCCTCCCATGGGGAAGCATCAGAGCCTGGTACATTCAGTTGAGTCAGGTACAAGCCTCTTCCCCTGCATCAAGGCTGTGCAAGGTGTCCCACCATAGGTAGTGGGCTCCAAAAAGCCAGCTGATGCACCAGGGATGGATCCTGATCCTACTGCTAGGGGGTCCCTTAAGCAGATTAAGCTACACAACTCTCACTTATGCAGAAAGCCTAGTCCAGTCCCATGGAGGCTCCACAGCAGTTGGTCTAAAGTGCATAGTAGGTTTACTACTGGGACTTGTGAACTCCTCAACCACTGGTTATTACTCATACTTACAGTATCAGGCAAGTGCTTATTTTCTGTCGAACAGGCATTTATTCCAACCAGAAACTGATTAATTATCCCCATACTGTTGGTGCCACTATTGTACCCATTAGCATACCTCACCACATCAGTCATTAGTGTAGTTCATAGGGTTTACTGCCTAATAAAACTGTGGATGTTTTTTTACCCCAGTAACCTACATAGAACCTTCCAGTCCTGTGAATGCTAATAGACAGTGGGGAAGCTTCTTGTTAAGTACCACCTGAGTTTCTCCATGTCCTCTGACCAATATGTTTGGTGTCTTCATCAATAGGATGTTACCATTAAGTTATAGTGGGCAACCAAGAAGAATGGCAATAGCCTTTATTGTTGAAGGAGTATCTCCAGGGCAGCTATGATTAGCAACACAAGGGGAGGTATCCCACACCTGGTTCTAAGCTTTTTTGGCATCCTTTGGCTTCTGGGAAGGCATAATCTTCTGTGTGGGCTACCTTATATCATCTATCTATCTATCTATCTATCTATCTATCTATCTATCTATCTATCTATCTATCTATCTATCTATCTATCTGTCTATCTATCAATCATCTATCATCATAATCTATATTTATATCCATATCCATATCTATATCTTTGTATTAGTGTTAGTTAGATCTATCCCCTCCTCTCTCTACTCTACCCTGAATCTGTCTTCCCCCTTAAATTTCTCTCCCCAGGATTCCAGAAATTTAGAAAGAGACCATTTGTGAGAAAGGGGAAAAGATCATAAGTGAGGTGGCAGATTGAGTTTTTCCTCTCTGGCAATGTTTTTATAGGTTATTTTTGCTGTATCATTAAATGTAATTCTGTGGTCTAAGTATCAGGCTTCAAGAGTGAGAAATCCATTTCTCTGAGACTTCTGTGAAACTCAATTCAATTACAATTACACATTTCACAGCAATCAGTGGCTTGAATTTTGTTGAGCTTTGAATTCCCAACCTCATACTTGGAAGAATAAATATATGAAAATTTATTTATCAATATGGTCCATCCTAAAAATGTTCTCAATTGCAAGAAAAACCATCCTGTTCATTATTAATGCATTTCGTCCTTGTTGGCATTTTAGAGTTTCATAATCACTGTCTCAATGAAGTGTGGCAATGTGGAGATGAACCTTTATTATTTCCACCAAATGTTAGGGGACCTTCATTTTGAAAAGTTTTTTTGTATATATTATGTTATATAAAATATTTTGTTTGGCCAGGGTTTGGCTTTGGAGTCAGGATTTCATGTAATCCAGGATAGCATTGAGCTCATAGAAACTAAGGCTGCTCTTGAAGTCTTGATCCTGCTGCCTACACCCATGACCACAAGCATGGCCCACCATATCCTTCCTGGTAGAGGCTTCCAAAGACTATAATTATATGTATATTTCTGCCCTGAGAATAAATTCATGTGGATTTCATGACTTTGTTCATGACTTTAATTTCATTGCTCAACTCAGACATGTAGAAGTACAAGAAATTGAAAGTTTCAGTAGAAAAGGATGAATTAGGAGGGATAGTAAATATTCCAGGATAGCTTCGAGGAAGCTAGATGATTTTACTATACATTATTCTACACTGAGCTGGCAATATTAGTAGCATCATATGTTTAATCAATTAAATGTCTTAACATTTTCATTATTTTTAATATTAAGAATCTACACAGAATTATTTGATATCACAATAGGAGAAAATTAAAGTGAGGCTTGATGGCACAAGACACTTGAGGAGTACAGGCATAGAGATTAAAAGTTATGCTACATAGCATAATCCTGCTTAAAAACAAAAAGGAACAAATTCAGAAGTATAGAAACTAAATTTTATTTATAGTTAAAAGTAATACTTTGTAAGCCAAAAGTCAGATTATAGATATCAAATATTATTTAGAATGCCAATAATAATAAACAATGAGTGCTACATGAATTGATTCAATTAACCATTGGTTAAAATAATTGAAGCCTTGGGTAACCATATTAATCATATGCAACTTTTTCATTGTTCCCTAAATAAAATAGCACAACATCTCTTTAGGTGGCATTTTTTGTATTATGTATTTTAAGTTACTCCGAGGATGCTTATGTATATTGTATTCATGGGCAAATGCAATTTTTAAGGGACTTGAGCATTCACAGATTTTGATATGTGGGTATTCTGGGATGAATCCCTTGTAGCTACTGAAGCATGGATAGATATATAATTTAACTTGTAGATCTTAAATATTTAGCAATATAGCTAGTCTTAGGCATTACCATAAATTATATCTTTCATATTGGGCATGAGACAATTTCAAATATTGAAGGAAAATCCCAATTTTAGTTATTTAATGAAATAATAGAGCCATGAATTTATATATGTTTAGTACATAGAAATAACAACAGTTTTTTTCACAGAAGTAAGTAATTTCATAATCTAACCATAAAACCTTTGTGATAGGAAACTTAGCTTTGTATACAAAAGAGAAAGGGATCATTGATTATATGGAGAAAAGCCCCCAAATATAGTGATAGCTTCCCTATTTGGTTAAGGAAATGTACATTACTACTTTTTGGTACTTACCAATGTATTCTATTTATGAGAATATCTTTTCAAAAACTGTTTGATAAGGGAACTATATAACAAAATCAAATAGCTCTGCTGACGGTAAAGTGACAGACTAGAAAAAAAACCAGATTAAAAAGGCTGCATACTCTTTCATTCCTCCTATATACTCACTCTAGTAACCCTAGATACATGTTTGTATTTGTTATTTATTTATACACCTTTTGACAGATTTTTGAAACAAAGAAGCAGTTTCTTAAAACAAACAAACAAATGAAAAGAAACAACAAAACATTGAAAGGTATTAAATAACACAGTCATTAGAAGAAAAAAGTGGTAACACAAAAATGGTTTCTTTTTTATTTTTGAGATTGTGTTTTAATCACATTTTTCTCTTCCCTTTTCTCTCGACAAACCGTCCCATATACCCATTCCCTCTCTCCTTCAAATTCATGGCCCACCTTTTCACCAACTGTCATCATATGAAAATTGTATAATTATGTATATCCCCAAATATAACCTGTTGAGTTCATATAATGTTACTTGTATGTATGTTTTCTAGACTGACGGTTTGGCACTGGACAAGAAATTGGTGTGCTATTCCCAAAGGAGGGCCACGTCTCCCACTCCCAGCTTTCCACAGTTACCTGTGTGTAACTGAAGATTGTAGTGTGCAATATAGATTAGTTTCTTTGATACTTGCAAAGGAGCAAAGGTTAAAAGGTTCTTATAGTCCTTCTAGGCTTATTTAGCCATCAGTTAAGTTTTTCGCATATATTAAAGGTTTGGGAAACACTGGGGATTGATATGAAACTGGACAGAAGGTTTGTTTTGTTAGTGAAACTTAGTAAGTTTTATTGATTTCTGCGTGTTTGTCTGTATGAGTGTGTATATGATTGTGTATGTATGTATGCACGTGTGTGTGTGTGTGTGTGTGTGTGTGTGTGTGTGTGTGCGCACACGCATGAATGTCACCCTTGTGTGAATGATATAAAAGAGTTCAGTCTTGCTTCAGAAATAAGAATATAGGGAGTGATATGATTAATGGCTCCATATTTAGGAAATAAGTAAAATGTTGATATTGGCTTACTTTCACCTTCTTGTTGGTCATATAAAAATAAGAAAAATTATAAGTCCCACCCCCACAAAGTTCTGGAATACCCAATGGGATGGGAAGAAAAGCTCTTTAGAGAAAAGGAAAAGATGTAACATTACTGAATCTTCTTTTGGGGGGATTGTTATGACCCGAGGCCATTTTCTTTAGTAGAAATCTGTAACTCTATTACCTTGCCTTCAAACAGAGTAAACCCCTAAACCCTGTGACATTTCACATTATTTTTACTCTGTGGGAATTAGACCAGATATGTAATAACTATCCATAAATGTAAAGCACTATCTATTAGCAATCCAGGCTTTCCTAACTTCTTTGTGCTCTTCCCTTCTAGTGTTTCATTGTGTGTAACCTATCAAAATTTTCTGCACAATTTAAGAGATTTTTTTGTGAAATATAATAAAGCCTTGAATAATTAGAAGCTAATTAACTAAAACTCTCAATTAACCAGTTTTATTTATTTATTTTTTGCTACACTCTCCTTTTAGAAGGAAGAGGCAAATGACAAGAAAACAAGCTGTTAACAGGTATTTATGTATTTATTTTTTAAAAATCAACTCCCTGATAATGTCCTGGAGCCTTTACAGATTCAGCCCAATTTCCATAACATTGTTTTCTATGTTATACTTGCTAAGATAGGAAAGGGAATCTATTTAAAAATCTTAGCATCAAACCTGTAATTTTGACTAATCCTTAGTGATAAGAAAAAAAAAGAAATTGGAATGGCTAATTAGAACTGATCTATCCATATGAAGTTTCTTGTTAATTGGGGTTTCCATGGTTTCATTATTTCTGGTTAGTGATCATTTATATTTATTAATTTTGATTGGATCATGTGATCACACAGAAGAGTGATAGCTTGCAGACAAAGTAAGCAATTCCCTTTCTGGGACTGAAAAGTCGAAGTTAGAGAAAAGCTACAAGTTGATGGAGATTAAGAGTCAGTGACATAAAAACTATAACACTTATATAAAATAATTAGAAGGTAATTTCAGTGTCTACCTACATTTTGCCTGTGGAATTCTTAGGAAGGTACATTCACTTTTACAGGGCAGCACAGGTTATTAAGTGTGCTACAGCAATAGTAGTAAATAACCTGAAATGTTCTGTCAGGCATGGGAATATGTTTGCATGCTTAGTAATCCTTAAGTACTTGAAATTCTTCCCCGTCTGAGAATAAATTGTAAAAAAAAAAAATCTAATTTCAAGAAGATCTATATCTGAAATTTCCTAAAAACACTTATGAAAATTTCACCTAGGTTGAAATCATCTATAGCATGTTATCCTGAATCTCATATCTTTTAGATTTTTAATGTAGAAATGAGTGATAATGGCAAAGGAAGGCAACCCGTGATCCTACAGTATGTTTTGATATTGCCTGGCAGTTATGTTCCATGATTATTTCCATGTGCTCTGCTCAAGTGAAATCTCTTTTTTGATGATATTTTTCCTCCTTCCTTGGCTCCATGTTTTTTATATGTATCCTATAAGATACATTTTGCCTGTGGGTTTTGAGGCAGATATCGACCGTACTGAGTGATGTACCCTACATTTTCAATGTGGAAAATGAAAATCACTTTGTTTATGTTTCTAATATGTTAGAACCTTTTTGTGCTAAAAATTAGTTTTAAATATCATGCACACTAAATAATACCCAAATGACCTGAAACAGTGGATGTACCTCCTTAATTGCTAAACATTGTATTTGACTATGACATCATTGAAGAACAGACTAGTATCAACTAGACATTGAAAATGAATAATTTCAACTGAACAAAATGTATTGAGTTTTGCAATTAGATTTGGCTCTTGAAAGTGTTGACTTTATATGACAGGGATTGAATTTAGGCATGGGAATCACTTTCATTTTTATTTCCTCAATAAAAAGGCATGCAAATTATGCCAAACTCTCTTAGTTAAGTTAATGATAGCTTATAACTATATCAACTCATTTCTGGATTAACAAAATTTTTGGATGTTTGTGATAAAATTTTACACTTACTAAAGTATGAGAAAAATCATGAAGTGTTTTTTGAAAGTGTATGTGAGTATAGAGAAACCAAGAGAGTCATAAACCGTAAGGCTTTTGGAGGTGAGGCTAGAAATATAAGTAAAAAACCATAAGTAATAGAGAATAGTGAGGACTAGCGTGAACTAGAAAATAGACAATTTTACCAATGGTGGTGGATACTGATACTATTCACCTCAGCAAATTGCTACCATGTAGGACTACATACAGGCTTATATTGTTAAGGCATTACTTTTTTTTTTTTTTTTTTTTTTTTTGGTTTTTCGAGACAGGGTTTCTCTGTGTAGCTTTGCGCCTTTCCTGGAGCTCACTTGGTAGCCCAGGCTGGCCTCAAACTCACAGAGATCCGCCTGGCTCTGCCTCCCAAGTGCTGGGATTAAAGGCATGCGCCAACAACGCCCGGCTAAGGCATTACTTTTTAAGAGATGACAGATATCTATACTTTTATGTGAAATTCTCCAACTATTAAAAGATGCTCACAAGTTCAATAAAAAAGAGAGAGAAAAATATAGGATGTTGCCCATGGGTTTTGCCAACTGTGCTGTAATTGTAAATCCTTGATTCCTCCACTCACCAAAAGAAATCATAGTTATCCACATACCTCACTCTCTTGATAATGGAAATTTGAAGTAAAGTAAATAAGTGGAGAGCTTGTCATATTTTGGTACTCAAAATGGTAGTTATGCATGTCATGATGTTTTCATTGCATAAAAATAGACGATATAGTTTTTCCTTCAAGTGGTTTGAAAATTAAAATAATTACAATTTTTTTTACTTTCATGTTAATCAATCAAATATACTATGTAGTAGTTCAATACCACCATTTCTAAAAGAGAATATTTAAGCATTATATCACCTGAAATAATTAAGATTTTTATTTGAAGCCCACTTGTTTTTCTTTAATGGAAAGATAGGCATGTGTACAACATATGCTGTTTCATTGAAAATTGGCTTGGCTTTAAATAAATGCCCAACTCCATCTAGTAAAGTAGCTTTATTTTTCTAAATGTTCAAAATAAGAACTAAAAGAAATTTATTTAACACAACAAAACTCTTCATTTGAACTCTTGCTTGGCATTGAAAACGGAAAAAGCAGTGAGTCCTCTCAGATTTTCTTTAAAGGTAACTGAGTGCTCTGAGGCTTTGCTTGTTTGTCTGTCCTGCCCTAGACCTTAACACATGATCCCACTGTGCGCCAGTGCTTTCTCCTTCTGTACACTTCTCTCCTCACTGGTCATCCAAACTCATATTTGTTTTAAAAGGAAACAAATTCCAACCTCTCTAGAAAAAAAATGAAGGAAAAAATATCAAAGTACCCCACTGGTATACCTCCTTAATCAGACCGTTGGACTACATATAACGTACTACATGTTAGTAATTCAACATATTTAAATATACCAACGAGTTAACTAAATAAAACTGTAATGTTTTAACGCTGTTGATAAAAACAAGGAAATTCAAAACAAACATTTGAAAAGTAATTGATTCTTTTTGTTGTGGGTTCATCAGCTCATCCTATCAGGCCTGGAAGTAGATGATATTATAATCCGTAATTTACAATGATGATATTGAGGCACAGAGAATGGTATGTAACTTGCCTGAAAATGTAAAACCCATACTTATCAGAGCAATTATTTAAATGGCATTGATTTTTAAAGTAAATATGATATATATATATATATATATATATATATATATATATACCTATATATTTTACTACCTGTGAATTTTGAAATCAGGCTAATTGCAACATTTTATCTACATGTATATCTATATGACTATACATATACATATATACCCACATTTATGACCTACAGAAAATGCTATCTCTATTCAGAAATCAGTTTTTGTGATATCACTTTAATTTTGTAAAATTTGCGAGCATAATTATAATACAGTTCATTCAAATAGAGCAGAAAAAATGAGAAATAGTAATTGAGAGCTCTGATTTTTGAAAAAACTAAATCTGTTAAGCATTAATGATATAATGATCAATCTCTTTTCTTCATCAGAGACAAAACGGTTTTAAAGTTTGTATTTGTTAGTGCTTTGAGTTTTTAAAATAATATTGGTATTTATGCATATACAATATTCTGTGGATGGTGCAGAAAATATGAGGTAAGATCTCAGTGTTATAAGGGACAAGGCAGAGATGTTATACTATCTTGAGTCTATCTTCAGGTTTTCCCACTCTGAAACTTTATATTACAAAAACTGAAATAAAATAAAATGCTAGCTATCATCTAGTATGACTGTGTCTGCTTTCTTGCATGTTTCCAATTGATGAAGAGATCACTCAAATATGTTTGAATCTGGCAGTGATTTTAAGAGAACTCAGGTTGAATGTTCAGTGAATTAATTCACTATTTCTTTTTAGATAAGCTGGTAATTGGATTTTGCATTCTGGAATGACTTGATTAGAACGATCTGGATCTTTACTCTGAGAATTAGTGCAGAACTATCAAGGTTTCCTATATTCAGTGTGCTAGAAAAAAAAAAACATTCATTTGATAATGGTCTTCTATGGTAAGAGGCCGAACTAGTGAAAGGAAACATTTAAAATTGATTTTATTTAAATCCCCAGAGTTGCAAATGCATTAAATGCCCACAACTAATAGCCACTCTCCAACAAATATATCCCCTTGTAGGACAAAATGCCTATGATTCTCAATGACCTCATTGTCCAAATGTGACAAGAAGCCCAGAGTCCTTTTGAGGGTTATTACTCACTTTGTCTTGTTTGTGATCTGACTGAAGGACTCAGATTTAAGAACTTTCACCACTATTTTTGCTAACCAATACCCTGTTTTTCAGTTAAATTCTATTCTAAAAGCACTGTTTTGTTTATTTTATCACCTGAACTAATTTAATAGAGAGAACTTTTGCCAGATGAATCCTGACTATTTTTTTCTCAGGTCTTCCCTATACTGTGCATGGTGATTCATGCAAATTATCCAACTTTTAAAATAAGCAGTAGACTAATTACTTAAAACACGACATATTCTAAAATTATGAAGTGCAATTCAAAGATGTAGTTTGGACACTATTCAATATTTCATTGACTAAACAGTTTTTTAACTAGGTTGTAAAGACTTAAGAAAAATATACTTTCATTTAAAAATATTATGATTGCTCTTATTTGTTGTAAAAAACAGAAAGTCTAAACTTCATTGTGTTGTGTTTGTCAAGCATATTTCCAAAAAATAAAACATATTTGAGATATTGCTGATTCCTTATTTACAAAACCAATTGCAATTATCATATGGCATTCACATTTGTGAGTCTAAAAAAAACCTTGACAAACATTTATTCTTTTTTTAAACCACAAAACATCAAAATCAAAGACACTTCTGTCTTTAACAGTGACTTAAAAAAGTCTTCTTTGCTACAGATAGCATTTAGATAATAATACTTTAATATTAGTAGTAAAAACATTTTTTTGTTAGTATTAAAAACCCAGTCTGAACCTTGAGCAAGTCATTTACAAGTTGTTTCCTT